CCCCAGGAGTGCACGCTTCCCCGCAGCACCGCGAGTGGGGACGGCTGGGCTGCGCCACCTGCGCTTGCAGGAAGAGGTGCAATGAGAGACCTAGGCCGGGAGCCAGTTCTTCTGCACAATGCTGTCTCATCTGGAGTATGAGATGGGCTCCCTGAGGCCTCAGGGAGAATGTGCACAGTAACGACCCAGGACAACAGGCACAAACAGAGACACCCCAACGGGGATATAGATCACCCCAACAAGAGCACTCAACCAGTCTAAGATGGGCAACCATAACTTCCTGACTTCAGCTGCAGGGCACCAGATGGGGAGGCTTCCACACAGCAGTTAATGTGGACGGTACCAACAAATACCACCCTGTTAGGGTGACCAATAAGACAGGAGAACAGGGTTTGCGTACCTGTACTGTTAGACACGTATGACACTACTACAGTGATAAAATAGCTGAGACACACATCTGCAAGTTGTCAAAACCCAGATTATATATGGGTGAAGAAACCAACACTGTCTGACTTTTATAAGTATAGAAATGGATGGACATTTCTCATAAGATACAGCCAATGGGGACATGAAAAAATGTTCAAAATCACTAACCATTTGGGAAATGAAATCAAACCCTGAGAAACACCTGAACTCCAGTAAGAGCCACCATCATCAGGATGGGGAGGAAGGGGAAACAGCACATTGCTGGGTGGGGTGAACACTGGCTCCTCAATAACTAAAGCGTGGACCTCCCAGGACTAACACCCATCACAGGGCCAGTGTCCTCTGCTGAGGGGAAAACTGTGCTGTGTTCATCGCTGCACAATTATTTGCAACAGCCAAATGTGGAAACATGTCGGCGGATAAGGTATCCACACCATGGAATGTCACACAACAAGGAAGAAGTGAAACTGTCATACCATCTGTCACACAATCCTGCAGACAGAACGAGGAGTGAAGTAAAGGCGATGGGCTTTGCCCCATGTTAAATGTTGTGGCCCCAGCCAGGCATGCTTTTAGTGTCAGTCCTCAGAGAATGAGAAGGGCAATGGCCAGCAAGACCAGCAGCTCACTATGCAGTCTCTCCTCACCTTCTATAATAGAAAGTAACTACGATGAATGAACAGAATCTGCACAAGGCTACTAGTCACATTAACCCTGCTAGCCAAGCTGCCTTTGTCATGCTCCTGACCACCAGCAATGCTGACCCTGCTTTGCTCCTGGCTACCAGCCAATCTTCTGCTGATTTCCTGGCCACCAGCCACACTGGCCCCGCCATGCTCCTGGCCACCAGCCACACTGCCCCTGCCATGCTCCTAGCCACCAGCCACACTGCGCTGTTACATTCCTGGCTACCAGCCACGCTGGTCCCACCGTGCTCCTGGCCACCAGCCACGCTGGCCCCACCATGCTCCTGGCTACCAGCCACACTGCAGCACCTCTCTGTGCTGCCTCTGTGATCCTCTCAGTAAATCTCTGTAGATATCCCTGGCAGCAATTCCTGTCTAAGAATCCAACTGAGACCAAAAGCGCAGGCCACTAAACTTCTACAAGAGGCTGGGACTTTGGAATTATTTCCACACTCACTCTTTTATATCTGTTCCAACAAATATAAAAGATCCAGCAGTCAGGAAGGAAAGGTAACTGTTTCAAGTGACATGCAGGTCCAGTGACCCCCAGCCATGGACATCCAGTGACAGCAGTGAGTCCCCACTCCCCACATCTGTAGCACTAGAAATGTGGGGCACCTGATGACCTGGTCATATCCCCAGCATCCTTTCTTATCCTCCAAGGTGGCAGTAATTGCTATATGGCAGGCCCAGGCCTTCCCACTTCAAAGTCCCTACATCTCTCAGGCTCTTTTCTCTGGCCTTGATGGGCTTCCACCTGCCATTCCCTCACCAATTCCCAGGACTGTATATTCTCACTGGAGCCCAACTGACAGCATCACCAGTCATCAAGGACACTTCCCTCAAGAAGAGCCCTGACAGTTACTTTACACTCAGAAGTTAAGGAGAACAAGCACTTCAAACCCACAATGATGAACATACCTGACCTACAAGTCCAAATGAGCGGTCCAGACTCCTCTGGTCAGCATATTTTCTGATTTTATTATGTAACCATCCCAACTCAGCAAGCCGGACTGCTGTGTCCCTCAGAGATTTATTTAAGTTCGCCTAAAAAGTAAACACAGCCAATCAAAACTGAAAAGAGAACAGTAGAATTCATCATCAGCCCCAGTCTCTTGCTCTAATATTCTAACACTAAACACCAGCACAAGGAAGCTAGCAGTAACTACCACACCATCAGGAGGAAGAAAGCACGGCAACAGGGAGGACAGAGTGGAGACCAGCAGGCTCCTTCTCTGTCACCCTGTGCACTAAGTACCATTCCAGGGCATGCCCACCACGGACCTTGACACTCCTCAGAGACACAGGGAAGTGACGCCCCTCGTCCTGCTGAGAAGAGCCGAGCAGACACTCACGGGAACAGGGATGTGGGAAGACTGCATCAGGAATGCTGCATCCAGGACAGCACACCACAATGCCTGTTTCTGGAGTCCTCTACCCTCATGGCAGCACCCCCAGCAGTGGACTCATGGGGAAAAGCAAGCCCCGCCACAGAGGGCCGTGACAGATCACAGCAGCCACAAATGGTCAGCACAAGAAGCCAAATCCAGCTGTGCTACTCATTCGGTGCCAGATATGCCAAGCCCCAGGAATGCCAGTCAGTGAGCGCTCAATCTGGAGTCGGGTGGGTGTTTTCCTGCAGGCAGGAGGTTCTTACATACCTTCCCTTCCACTCTGTAACAGTTTTCAGTGCTGCTCATTTTGATGTTTTTGCCATCAATGCCCTGGAACACGTAGAGAATGTCTCTCACAAGAGCTGCTTCAGTAACTTCCAATGTGCCTGCAAAGTATTTTTCAAAGCCAGTAAGGAACACTCTTCATGTGAAATGAGTTGCACAACTCATTAGCTGTGTGTTATACATTTGCTCCGAGACAACATATACCAACCCAGTAAGTGAGCTCAAGAAGCAAGACAGAAAGGCACAGGCCTTCTGAGAGGTCAGGGTTTCCAGTGCCCCCACAAAGGCCTCTGAAGATGAGCCCTGCTGTGACCACCAGACAGGTAAGAGCAGAAGTCAACCACAGGGGGTTGTTTAATACTAGCTTACTTCTCGGTGAGAACACGAACAGGACCCTCCTACCACCAGAAATGGAGTTCACAGCTCAGAAAAGACATTGGCTTCCCCAGTTTCTCTGAAGAAATGTCACAATTAACTTTGGGTGCTAACTAAAACAATGAGGGCAAGGAGGCAGAACAACACCAAGAAGCCCAGGATGTCAGAGCCAAGAGACCAGAGAGGCAGTCAGGAGAAGTCAACATTCACAGTCCTCGCAGAGAGTGCCGCATGGACATCCTTCACGGCTGTGGGCTGCTGCATCATCTGTCAGGCTAACAGTGTCCTTCAAATCTCACACAGCATCCTTGCCATTTCCACCTTTGGCTAAGTCTCCAAGAAGCAGCTAACAGAGCCAGCTGGGAGCCATGCACTCCTGGCTTTCTTTCCCTCCTGTGCACCTTGATGAGGGCAGGGGTACTCCATGAACCTTCCTTCCTCAAGAGTAGAGCTTCACTATTCCGAAGGCCAACCTACATCTGAAGTCTACTCTGACAGAGGCTCTGCCCGCTGTGGTTGGCTTTCCAAGCAGACGTCATCCACCCCCACCCACTCACTTTGAACTGGCTTGTAACCCTTACTTAAAGTATATCTCTTGTAAGCACCAGGTACTACTCAGACTGGAACTAGACTCAAAACTGAAATGGAAAAGAAGCAATTGTGCCTTTAACAAGCACACCTGGGTAAAAACAGCCATACTGCCATGGCTTCTACCTACCCCCTGCTCTTTCCTCTTCTCATCTACTTCTTTCAAGTCCCCTCTGGGTATATGGGGACATAGGTCTAAAGGCTGAGGACTGCGCTGGCTTGCATCACATACCGGCATGCTTGGCCCTGAGTGCCCATGCTTACACATGACAAGCTAATGTGGTTGAGAAGGCACATATGTGAGCTCTCCAGGAGGACAGTTGCCTGGGCAAAGGCTTTCATGTCCCTTAAGTTGCAAATGACACTGGCCCCTTGGCTGCCCTTATGGAGAGGAGGCAGCAGCCACAGCATCAGGATCAGCAGACCAAGAACCAACAGCACAGCCTATTTCTCAGTACTCCACCTGCCAAGCACTGCCACTTGTAGTATATGCGCGAAAACCACTCCCAGCTCCCTTGACAGTCTAACAGGATTTCAAAACTCCCGGAGAGGGCTTCATCTCACCACCACAGAAATGGCCAGTGAGCTTCCTTCACATTGCAGACACCATGCTAAGTACCAGCAGCATGATCACAATGGACACCACCCTCCACAAAGCTGGGACATGAACACGTGACCTTCCTGAAGGACTGAATGGCTTCCCAGGAGGAACAACAGAGCGAGATCGGAAGGGAACTGGGACAAGGAGGCAGAGAGCACAACACTGAGGGAACCGATCAATCAGACAACAGCTCAGAGTGAAGGCACTGGAGCTAACAGCAGGCAGCGTAAAATACCTCCTGAAGCGTCTGGCCATAGCAGGGTCCTGCGTTTCATTACAGAAAGACTAGTATCACTACAGATGAGGTCCTAGCTTTAAGTTTAGAATAAAATGGTTTCTAAATGCCAAGACATATCTTACCACTTAGATCCCCTTCTCTCCTTGACCGGGTGGTGATGTTGCGAGAAAGAGCATTTGGGAAACCTTTGGAGGTAGGGGTTTGTGAAGAAGGTTGATTTGTAGTCATAGTCCACGCAAGACGAGGCCCCAGCTGCTGTCGAAGGCCATCACCAACTCCTGGAGCTTGATGAGACTGTCTAGAGAAAGGAAGGAAGCGACATTTATTGCTCCAAATAACCGGACTGTCCACGAGAGACAGAAAGGCTCCTAGGAACCTTCCATAAGTTATCACACTAACTACATTAATTTATGAATCCGATGCCAGGGTTCTCCTAACCCACATGTCTCCACGACAATCTGTTCTTGGGCCCTTGCATTGTCCCAGGATACTGACCCAGCTTTCAGAACTACTCCCAACTCACCCTACTGTCCATGCTTCTCTTCCCTGTTTGAGTTCTCTACAAACACACAGCATACATCATAGCTAACATAAGCAGCTTGAAATTTTAAATCAGTTTCAACTTCAAGATCATGGGCTTTCATTCATTCAACATTTCCTGAGTTAATAAGTCTCAACACCTGGTCCCTGTCCCATCAGCTGGTCACTAGCCCCCACCCCACCCTTGTATGCATACTATGAAGAGACCTTGAAGTTTTAATTCATTTGAAAAACACACAAATACATAAAATGCAAGGCAAAAGTAACCTGACAAATAAATACATCACAGTCGCTCTGCGAAAATCTAAGAATCTGACGCTTATTTCTAGTGACATCTGTAACAAAACTACTGCGTCTTCTAACACTTAAACAGCCACAGGCCCTCGACTGCACATGCTGCCCTAGGGATCTATAGAGTGCTCTGGGGAAGCCATTCTCCTCCTGTACTACCCTTGGGATGAGAGCACTGCCAGTCCTGCCCTGCACTACCCTCATATGGAAGCACTGCCAGTTCTGTCCTGCACTACCCTTGGTGGGCACAGGCTCAGCATCAGCATTCAGTAATACTGTGCATGTGAAAAGACTTGTAAATGTAAAACAAAAGCCTAATTTAGCTCAAAATTATCTATGTGAGTTTTTCATGACAACAATAAGCACTCTAAATTCTTTTTCATGACAACAATAAGCACTCTAGATTCTAAGCTCACAGATGAGACCCTTTCAGGCATATATGGCTTCGGGTCATCTGCAAGTGTTGTTGGTAAATGTTACAGGATCATCACAGAGCAATCTGTGTGTGGTGCACACAGTTCACATTCAGTACCTTCTGAGCAATTTCATAACTCAAAGTGATTGTGATTCCACCGTGCTCATGTGGAAAACATCACACTTTTGATGCTGACTCTCTGATCACTGTTCCTCTGGAAAACTATCCAGCTCAATCCTTTTATACTGCGACCACCAGGAATGACAACTGCAAGAAGCTAACACTGTCTTGTGTTAGCCGCACATATGTGGCTTCCATCCTCTTTGCTCACAGCATTAACTGTGCGTCTAAAAGTCGCACCCTAAGGACAATTCAGCCTGCTACTTCTTAAAATTCTGACTCCAACAGGAACAGCCTTGCTAAGAGCCTGGGGACGGACCTACAGCGCTGAGAGTCACCCTAGCAGCCAGGGCAGGACACACATAAGCCGCTGGATGCTTCTGGTTGTATCATGTCGTGAGAGAGAGAGAGAGAGAGCTAGGTCAAGTTACCCAGGGAGGAAAGGCTGCACAGGGGTGGGTCCACTGAGGCCACACATGCCAATACTGCTGATGCCGCTGCTGCCCAAGCTGCCAGAGCTCTGTGCCTGTATGCTGCGGTCCTGGTAGTTCAGGGGGAGGGTCTGAGGCCTGGCATAGTAGTAAGGCGTCGAGTGAGCATCTCTTGGTAATGCTTGTGCAAATAACGAAGCATAGCTAGTTACCTGAAATGAAGTGCATTGTAAACACATAGGTAAGAAATTGTAGGACAACTTTCCCAAACCCACAGAAATTTTATATTCCTATTCCCATGCTATGTCTGGAACTGAATTTGAGTTTCATACTTATTCAAGCAAGTCAATGAAACACTTTTGAAATGTCATAATTGACAGTATCAGGAGTTCTCTTAACTCCAACAAAAAAACACAAACAAGTTTCCCAGCCTACCACTGCCACATAACAAGGAGGCTGGAACAAATCCCCCACCCACACTGCTCAGCTTCTTGCCAGCCAAAGGTCTGCAGAACGTTCTATCATACTACCCTACAGCAGGGAGAGCCAGAGGCCCCAGTAAATATCACACAGGGATTCTCAGCAGGAAGCCTGCTGAGATGACAGTGACACGTGCTCCCAACACCTGGAGGCACAACAACGGCCCATGGCTTCCCAGCTCGAAAATGTCGACCCTTCCGGGCTGATGCCCTAATTTCACAGTATCGACTCTTTAATAACTTGAGCTGCTTGATGCACATTGCTTCATCAAAATAACGTAATTTTGAAACACATCTTGTAGAAACTGCCCATGGAAAAGAAGAAATGACTTGACTTCCAGGCTTGGTGGTTTTTTGCTTTTCTCCTATTATTTTCCTTCCTATGAAAACATGGTATGACCATCTCACACAACACTGCTGAGGCCTGCTCACCCACCTTGCTGGCTTGCTTGCGAGGATCCTCACTAAGGTTCAGCAAGAGGTAGAGGATTGACCATTTGTTTTTCAAAACTCCCTGTTTAGATTAAAAATAATATTACAAGGGCTATTGTATCAACTTTCTGTTTTATTCTCTCTCCTATACTTATTTCCAAAATCGACACACATTTTCAGTTTCACCTGCTGACAATCATCTGAGCTCACCTCATGAGTCATAAATGGCACTATTCTTCAGAAGACTGGAAGAGACACTGTGACCAGCACCCCCAGTTCCTAACTCCCTGGAAACAAATCCCAAAGTTACCCCAAACACAGTGATGATAAAAGAAATATTATCAAAATTCTCTGAGTTAAGCTGGGTGTGGTGGCAGAGACTCAGGAGGCAGAGACAAGTAGAGCTCTGTGAGCTCAGGGCCAGCCTTATCAATACAGTGAGTTTCAGACCAGCCAGGACTACATAATGGGGGCGGGGGGAGATGAACTGGTTTTCTTGATTAATGTCTCATCTAGAGCAGAAAAGAGGATTGTGGGAAAGGGAATGCAAGAATGGAAAGAACTCCAGCCTGTGGGTACCCTGACATTTCTGACAGAAACAGACATGCAGGCAAATTACACAGCTGGAGAAGTGGCCATGAGAAGGAAAAAACATAGAGATCAATGGACAAGAACTGGGAATCCAGGCCACTGCAAGTAAAATGAAAACTGTGCACGTGTGGAACAAATGAACAAAAGTGGTACAAACAAAACTGCCAATGACATGTTAGAAAGCAAGTCAGGTTTTTTTAACCACAGAACACTACAAGTTCAGCTAAGCTCACCCTCCCACCTCAACCTCCCCAGTTCCAAGATACAGGAGTGTGCCACCACATTGGGCTTGAGGGTGGCTTCTTTTAACATAGGGAACAGGTATTGACAGCCAGGTGAAGCAACTTATTTAAGAGCCTTCAGTGTATGCTGAGGTACAGACAAGAGCAATGAAAACAAGGCTGCACCAGCCAGGAACCTACCATCCAAGGAGCCAAGATGGCCTCACCAGGCCCAGGACTAGGGATACCATCAAGCCACAGAGTCACAGTTTCAGACTCAGCCTCCATCCTCCCAACCCAGCTACCTCACCAGCACTACAGCCAGTTCTAACTGAAGCGCAGATGGTAGCGAGCAACCAAGCTGGGGCGCAAGGACAGGGACTGCAACCACTCCAGCAGTGCTGAGGTCGGAGTGCACCACAGCTGAGCCTCAGAGCCAGCCACCTCAGATTCCTACCAGGAAGGGCCTTGATGAGGACAGCTTCGTGCAGTGTGTGTCAACTGGATTTTGAGTGTAGACACACAACACCCTAAAGTGAAAGAACATCAAGGCAAAGGTTTTCCCAGCAAGCTACACATGGCAGCTGACATTTCCCGCACATGCACAGGAGCTGCCCCCAGCTTTCAGGCTCACTACCACCCTAATGCACCATCCCTACCTCACCAGTCCCGGCATACAAAGCAAACAAGGAACCCTCACTGAACAGAAAACAGGACAAAAAAAAAAAAAAAATAGTATCAATGACCTTTGTACTTGGAAGAGCTGGTTCGTTTTTTTTTTTAAATAAAAAAGATGGAATGACTACTTATCTGGGCATA